GACTCAGTTATGAACAGCAGAGCAAAAGGGGTAGGGGTGCCAGTGTTACTAGAGGAAATGTGCCAGCAGTTGGGTCTAATCTGAGGTCTTGTTGTTGTAATAGTGCAGAGGAGTGAAGGTGTCCAGGGCATTCCAGGCAGCTGCATCATAGCAGGACTCTCATCCACGTTATTCTGTCAATGCAGGTGAGCGTCCCTTCAAGTGCCCCTTTGTGGGCTGTGGCCGCTCTTTTACCACATCCAACATCCGCAAGGTTCACATCCGAACACACACAGGCGAGCGGCCGTACATGTGTCCAGAGCCCAACTGTGGAAGGGGCTTCACCAGTGCCACCAATTACAAGAACCACATGAGAATCCACACAGGTAAGAGGAGGAGAGGGTGAAATGCAGACAGCTCTTGCCGACTTAGCTGCCTGCACTGACGGCGTGTGGCAGCAGGGAAATCTGTGGGACTGAAATGGATGTTTCCAGCCAGGCATTGCAGGAGTAGATCTGGGGGTAGCCAGGGTGTTAAAGGAAGTAGGAATTGCTTTATTGGGCTGATCATTATTCCACCAGTCTGTCTCCCACTATTATCTCTTTGTGGGGAATCCCTTCCTAGTGCATGAGGAGAGTGAGTGGGTTAAGCTTTGCTCTACGTCCTCTGCCCTAGGAGAGAAGCCGTACGTGTGCACTGTGCCAGGCTGTGGAAAGCGCTTCACCGAGTACTCCAGCCTCTACAAGCACCACGTAGTCCACACGCACTGCAAGCCCTACACCTGCAACAGTTGTGGGAAGACTTACCGCCAGACCTCCACGCTGGCCATGCACAAGCGCAGCAGCCACGGCGAGCTGGAGGCCACGGAGGAGAGCGAACAGGCCCTCTACGAACAGCAGCAGCTGGAGGGTGAGCATCCACTCCCCCGTCACCTGCTGCAGGCTTGCATCAGGCCGTGTGGCCAAGAGGAGAGATGACAGCAAAAGCCTGCAGCCGCTGCCCTCTCTCAGACCCAGGTCTGTGCTGTGGCCTCCTGCCTCCTCCATCAAACCCAGATCTGTGTCACAGACAAGAGAAAAGGGCTCCCCATGGTCCTCACTGTGTATCACGGGCTGGGAACCGACTCCTGCCCATTCTGTAGTACAGGGAGAGGTAAAGACCCTTCTTCCCAGGCTGGCACTGGGCTGTCATCATCACGATCTTGTGCTCTTCTGTGCTGGCCCTTCAGGTCACAGGCAGGTCCTGGGGTCAGGCGTGTGATTTCGTGCTCTGCTTAGTGCTTCTCACACCCCTTTTGCTCTTCCCCTTCCCTGACTCAGCTGCTGCTGCTGATAGAGGCTCCCCCCTGAAGAGCCAGCATATTGCTTTCCTGTCAGAGATGGAGGAAGAGGAAGAGGAAGATGAAGCTGGTATGCCTACGCAGGTCTCACTTATCTCTCAGGATGGGACAGAACAGGTATGGACACTGACAGCCTCCAGCATGTCGGGGACAGCAGTTATCTGAGAGAGATTCTGCCTCTGCCCAGCCTTGATGTTCTCTTTAAGGCTTTTTTTTCCAGCATAAATCAGACCCTGGGGCTTCATGGGCTCTGTCTGTCATGAGGGCTCCCTCCTTAGAGCCTTACCCCACTCCTGCAGTCTTTAATGTGGAGGGTAAAGAATGGGCCTCTGGTCCCCAACTCACCTTCTTGCTGGACGGGGTCTTGCAGGTAAACACCAGGCTTGCGTACAGCGCCTGGCAGCCCTTGCCTTCCAGACTACTGTGGAGAAGCAGCTCTCAATTTCTGCTGACACAGGCTGGATTTGCAGATTGTTGTTTCATTGTTTGTATACGGCAGGGCTTTTCTGGTACTTCCCTCTAACAACTGCCTATGTGCTGACTGGGAAAAACTCCCTTCTGTGGCACGGGGCAAAGGAAACAGCTGCCACAAGTAACACTTGTTTCCTCTTAGTCCAAGACCCTCCCTGCTGCAGCGATGCACAAGCTGTCCCTTCAAAGCCTGGAGAGCAGATGCTAAATGGGAAAGGGAGGTGTGATAGAAAGGGGAGGGCTGGAAACCTGAGGTCTGTGAGTTCTCCATTGGTTCTGTCCGTGATCCCGGGCAAAGTCCTTGGAGTTCTCTGTGCCCTAGGTCTTGCATGCAGAGGAGGGGAGAATATTTCATCCTTACCAAGACATTTGTGTTGCTAAACTCAGGAGTTGCGTAAGGCTTCCTGAGAAGCCGTCCTGGCTGAGAGCATCTGCTGTTATCCCGCCCAGGTCAGTTTGTCACAGGAAGACCTGCAGGCCCTGGGCAGTGCGATCAGCATGGTGACGCAGAGCGGTGCCCTTGCCGTGCCCGAGGAAGAGGTGGCAGGTGATGACGACACCCACCCCGTGACTGCGGCCAATGCTGATGGCACCGAGATGCAGCCGGTACAGACAAAAAGACTGGGACCTTCCCTTTTCCCTGCAGAGAAACAGCCTGCTAGAAGGGAACTGCATTTTCTTCTAAAACATGATTGTGTTTTATCTTTACTTTTCCTAGGTTACCATCGTCGCTTCTGGGGCAGTCACGTCTGAAGAATCGGCCATTATGTCCCTCCATCATCAGCAGGTGGCATTGCTGGCTACCGCCAACGGCACCCACATCGCAGTGCAGGTACCGCACAGCTCCTGCCACGTTCCCCTTCATTCCCACCTCCACCCGCTGGCTCCAGCACTTACCCTCTTGCTCTGCTGCATCGCCTCTTGCCCAGGGTACTTACTCCTTAATTCCCAGATGTCCTGTGTATAGAGGGAGAGCAGGGAAATGCTCCTTGGATTGCAGAATGCTCCTTTGTAAACAGCCTTTTGGCATCACAGCCATGTCTCTCTCTCTGCTTTGCCCGTCTGCTTCATGCCTGTGACACCCACTGCCGATCCCTTGCACCTCTGTCCTGCTGGGGGCTGCCCTGGGTGAGCCCACCCCTCCCGAGCCCGCTTTTGGGAGGACAGTGTTCTCTCTCTCTTGTCTCCATTAGTTAGAAGAACAGCAGAGCCTGGAGGAAGCCATCAGCATGGCCGCAGCAGCAATCCAGCAGGAACCTGTAACGGTTGACGCAGCCAGGTCTGAGAATGGGTGCTGAGACCCTGCAGAGCCTCCCGGGCAGGAAGAGCTGGCAGCCCCGGCCTGTTCTCCACGGGGGCATCGGGAGCTGCCGGAACCGGGCCAGCTGGTGCGCGAAAGAGGTGCGATACCAGGGGCGAGGGAAGGTGTCTGAGACCAGCGGCCAGCGTGTGCACCACGCAGGCGGAGAGGGCTGATACCGGCAGCGTTGGGCTACCGGAGCGACCCTGTTGGAAGGGCTCTTCTCTCCAAGGAGGGATGTCAAAGATACTTGGTTGCTGCCTTCTCCTGGAGGCTCTGCTGTTTTTCTGGGCTCTGAGCAGCAACTTTCCCACTCCTTGCCTTGGGCACTGACTCCCTCTGACTGGAGGAGATGGCAGATTGTGTCTTCTAGTATTTATCTCTTCATGGCTAAGACTTCCAAGACCTGCCAGTCTTCTGCAGTAGAGGGGGAGCCACAGAGATTTTGGCAGTCTCTGGGAGTGCAAAATATTTTGGGAGAGGGCAGGAAATGCCTCTCCATCTAGGAATAGTCCAACAGCTCACCTTTCCTGCCCACTCCTCCAGGTAAGGGGCAGGTGGGCAGCATATGCACAGAAGCAATAAAGCCCCATCAAAGCAAGCCCAGGCTGTCCTGGGCTGGGTGTCTGGGGTGGTGACCGGTTCCTGACGCTGGAGCGAGCACCCAGCCTGGCTCTGACAGCAATTCTCCCATCTCTTTATTGCGCTCTACTCTTGAGCAAACTTTCTTGGCAGACTCAGCGCTGTGGATCAGAGCAAAATGCTCCTCCACGAAGCCAACCGGCACTTGTCGGGGGCTGAGCTAGACTTGGATGTAAATACTGAGTTGAAAAAAAAAAAACAAATTAAAAATTTTCTTTTTAAAAAGAAGCACCTTTCTCTCTTTCAGTCCCTGGGGCCAGTGGCTGGCAGTGGTGGGGTGGGTGTTACTGGTTGGCAGATGTAAGGATTAAGGAAGTTCAGGAGATTTATTGAATTGACCGAAAAACAGTGATTGTCCAAAAAGAGTGCTGAGGTGGGCTGTGAGCAAGATAAGTTGTAGCCTCTAAGCCCCCAGCGTGTGTCTCAGAGGGGCTAAGAGCTGTCTCTTGAATCTCGGATCAGGCCTCGACTCTTCCAAGTACTCCTGCAAGCCTGGATTTAGGGAATAGTGTCAATACAAGAAAATGTGTCTGTGGATGCATCCTACAACCCTCTGAGCTGGCTTCCTCAACCCAGCAGGAGCAACCTCAGCCCCTCCGCTGCGTACCTCTGCCCTGGGCGGTTTGTGGCCAAAGCCAGCGTGGAGAGCACCACAGAATCATTGAGGTTGGAAAAGGCCTTTAAGATCGAGTCCAGCCGTAAACCTAACACCAGCACAGGCTCCCAGCAATCAGGTCTTTTATTTTTTGAATGTACCCAAGGAGTCTGCAGAGGAAGAGGTTTCTGTGGCAAGGAACAGGCATAACCCAGGAGGGCTGCAGTGGGTTAGATCTCTGCTCGCCTTCCTTGGTGTCCCAAAACAAGCAGGGCTGGAACCTTTCCAAAAGGCAGAGCTCGCGCTCCCGCTGCGAGGGGAAAGCTCTTCATTTAAATCCCAGAAGAGGAAGCTGCTTTTTTTGAGTCAGGGAGGGGATTTCTCTCCGCAGAACGCGAATGCTAAGAAAGCTTTTGATCTCTAGGCTGAGCCATCAACGGGTTACAAATCCCTGCCCCCTCTGTGCTCCGTCAGCCCTGGATTGTGCTTCTCTTGAGTGTGGGAGATCTGTCCGTGGGTGAGTGGGGAGGGGGAAAGACCTGCAGCCCAGGGGACCGTGGGGCTGAGATGTGGCCCGTGGGCTTCTCGGGGGTGCGCCCAAGCAGATGGCGCTCCTGCTTCGTGCGTCCCCCGCCGCCCAAGGCTGTCGAGGCAGGCGGTTTCCTGGAACCGGATCCTCGGCCTCGACAGAGCCGCCTCTGCCATCGCTGCTTGTAGCCATGGACCTGCGAGCGGAGCTGCTGAAATCCATCTGGTACGCCTTCACTGCCCTGGACGTGGAGAAGAGCGGCAAGGTCTCCAAATCTCAGCTCAAAGTGAGTTCCTGGGCGAAGGGAGAACTCGGATGGCCCCGGCGTGGGGCTGGCGGGTGGGCTGCCAGGGGCAGAGCGGGTCCAGGGATGCTTTGCATCCCCCTTGGGTTTCCAGGGGTAAATTCTTAAATATTAAGATAAGACCTTGCTGTCGCCTCCATGCTGGTTTCGGTGAAGTTTTCTGCCTCTTCCTCATCTGCCTTTAAAAAAAAAAAAAAGAAGGTGGGGGGAGTTAGTGCTCAAATATATTTTCTAGGTGAAAATGAGCAGAAATGTAATTTTTAGTTGTTTTCAGTTTCTTATGCTTTTTTATGGCCAACTAACAGCCCAAACTCGGTTTATATTTTCTCGCTTGTCAGAGCCCCCGCGTTTCTGCTTCCTGTTCAGCCAGCAGGTTGGTAGGTAGAGACGGACCATTTTTAAACTAAAACTCCTCAGTGGCCTGGCCAGAAATAACACAGCGCTTTTAAAATCTCTGCTTTCCCCTCTCCCCCACCCCATTAGCAGCTTTGCAGAGGGCTCCTGCGTTCAGCCCTTCACCAAAACCATCACAGCTTTAAAAACCTTTTTGTCTGCCTCCGGGACGGGGTCTGGTTGAATCCGCCAGGTTGCACCTTGGCTTCAACAATAATTATTGAGTTGTTTGGTTTTTTTTCTTCCCTTTGCAAATGGTGTGACACCTTTTTTTGTTGCTGTGTAAACATCTTACTGTGGTTCTTCGGGGTTGGAAATGCTGGTTGGAGCAAGGGGCTGCAACGCAGAGGAAAAACCTGAGCTACAAACATGCAAAATACGGGGAGATGTTGCGTCAGGACTTGGCAGCTGCTGCCAGTCTGCGAGATGAGTTGTGAAACGCTGCAAAGAAACCTCTTTTCCTCTACTCTACCTTATCGGGCTTCCCCCGGGATGGACTGCAGGGAAGGTGCTGGGCTTGGCAGGGAGGACGTGTTTTGTCCCCAAATTAAGAGTTTTGTTCGCAGGGGTCTGGAGGAGATGCTGCAGGAGGGGGGCTCCTCCTGCTCAGCCGCTGCCTTTGCAGCCGAGAGCCTTCAGCTGCTCCCCAGAAACTCATTGCATGGGTGCCCTGCAAGCCACGCTCACCTACTTAAAACTGTAGAAATATCTGAAGGAATTAAGGAAAATCCCAGAGCCTAATTCCCCTTGCTAATCCTCGAGGAGGGCTGCTGTGCTCCCCTCACAGCATCCCCTTGCCTTTGGGTCCTGAGCCCAGCCCAGGCATGCTGCCAGCCCCGAAAGCCCCGGCGTGAACACGTGCAGCACTCATCTTGTGAGATCTTTATCGCCAGCGACGATGCTGTGGCCACAGAGACCCTAATTTTAACGGCAATTTCCTAGAGAGTTTGTGCAGGGAGGGATGGGGAGCTGCAGACCCTCGTACAGAGACTGCGGGGATGCTGGGGACGGCATCTCTGCGGTGGCTTTGCCCAGGGTGACATTTCAGAGGGGAAGGGAGATTCGCCCCTTGCTGTTTTTCCACCCGCCTTCAGCGGCGGGTCGGGATGGCGGCGGGTCGGGCTGCGCCGTTGCATGACGAAGCTCAACTCTGGATAACTTTCCACCTGCCTCGAGGCCAGGGAGAGCTCGTTTCATCCCCTGTTGCTGCCAAAAACTGGCTCAGGTTTGCTCCAAGCCAGCAGCAGAGATTCTGTTTGTTCAGTGCAGAAGAAATCCAGGGTCTTGCAGGTCTGAGCAATAACGTGTTAAAGCCACGGTGGCCATGCCCTCTCCAAACTCCTCCCGGGTTGTGCGAGCCGGGCTGTGCTCTGCTCCCTCACCCAGGCGTGTTGCTGCAAGAAGGGTCTTGAACAAGGGTGGGAGAAATGTCGGGGTTCACAGCGTTTGCACCTACAGAAACAAAACCAGCCCCGGGAGCTGGGGTGGGATTTTACTGTTAGACGAGCAGCACGTCGGCGGGAGCTGGGTGCTTAACTCCTCCGACCTCTCTCGGGGCAGTTGCATAAGTAAATTTAGCAGCGTTTCAAAGCGTGATGGCGAAGCTGTGGGAAGCCGCTGGGTTCAGTAGTTGAGTTCTTTGCATGGGCGCTCCTATGCAAGTGTGTGCGCATGTACGTGTGAGTGTAGGTGCGTATCTGCACAGGAAGGAAAGAGTCTTGTGGCTGAGCGCTACCCATCGAGAGACGTCGGGTAGTTCTGTTCCCCGGGCGGGCACGCACCGGCCCCTGCTCTTGGATAAGTGTTTATCCTCTCCGTGCCATCGCATCCTCCCTGGCCGAGCTGGGGGAGCTACTCCCCGTCTCTGCGGATGCTGGCCGGGATGTGGCTCCTGATGGCGGGGCAGAGCTGAGCCCTTTGGGGTGGCCATGACCAGCTGGGGCAGGCAAGTGGGAGCCACCGAGCACTGGCCCGGTGCTTTTCAGCTCTGCTCCGGTCCCTGTTGCAGAGGGAGAAGAGCAGTTTGCTGAGCAGAGCTCGGTCTCTTGAGGCTGCCCGCTAAGGCAAAGCCCTTGGGGAGTGGAGAGGAGGAGGCAGGGGGGCAGGCGAGTGGCTTAAATGAGTGTTGGGGGGCACAGGGATCCCCCAGCCACTGCATGGGGTTGCAGGCGTGGGGTACAAATGGCTGGGGAGGTGGCTCTTGCTCACTTTTTGAGAAGGAGGCCATAGCCCGTGGGGGTCTCCCGGTGTAACTGGTGCCTTGGGGGGCTGGGTTAGCACAGCATGGCCCGTTTATGGACACCCCCCGCCCCGTGCCTGCCTTGGACTGAAAGCTCCTCTGCTTGTTACATGCACAAAAGGCTTTTGGCACAGGCCGGTGTGTCCCAGTTTAGCCAGTAACGGGTCTGAGAGCAGCTCATCCGTTCAAGCAGGGGGTAAAGCCTTCCCTGAGGTTGGGAGCTGATGGTCCCAGGGCTGGGCTGGGGTGGCAAGGCAGCCCTCCCCACTCGTGTCCTCCTCGCTGTAGAAAATGGGCACCTCAAGGGACCCTCGCTGTTGGCAAAGGCTCCCGGTGCTGGGGGTCCCCTGGGACAGGACTCCCTGCACCCCCAGCTCTGGTGAACCTTTGATTTTTCTCAGCAGGGCGGATCTACTTGCACATGGGGAAACCGAGGCAGCAACCACGCTCCCTGTGTGGAGCAGGAGCCCGGATCCTCCCGCTCCCACCCGCCGGGCTGTTTGTGTTTAACACGAGGAACCAGAGTCCAACCCAAAAGGTCACCCCCAGCCCTGGCATTGCCCCGGGCGTCTCCCACGGGGGACAAGAAGAGGGGCTGCCATTCTCCAGCCACGTTAAATATTCCACCCCCAGCTCCAGCTGGCGTCAGCAGCGGCTGCGGAGGCGTGGGAGGGGGAGGAGACGGGGGCACTGGAGGCGGGGGGGG